ATGCAGATAGTTGTGGCCAGCATAACACAACACATGTTTCTTGTGCAGTATAATGGTTATGGGACTGCAGATAGTATAGTCAGCCTTGAGGAATGTGGATAGGTTTTATTGATGGGTTGTATAGCAATGGATGCCTTTCATAAGGAACAAATCAGAGGATGTCTTAAAGAATAGTTCAGAAGACAGTATTCAGAATTTTTTTATAATAAATGTAATAATGATAAATATGTTAATGATTAATAAATAATGAATGACTAGTAATTATGTAATATAAGAGGAGAGATAATGTTAAAAGTTGTGATAGGGAAAAATATTTTCACTATTTTTGTTTATTAATTTTCCATCTACATGTTCCAGGCATCAGTTCCTTCGTCGTCATCCTCCTCCTCGTCAGTCCCCCCCTCAGCCAGTGTCCAGATCCCCAACCTGGATGAGAACTTGCAGCTCATGAGAGAAATGGGCATCCTGGATGAGGACCTGAGTCGCCAGGCACTCCAGGCCACCAATGGCGACGTACAGGCTGCTGTGAATCTCATATTCGCTCAGTGGATGGCTGATGACTAAGCTCTCCTCTCATTGAAGTGTAGTTTTAGAATTTCCCTTTTGGAGCAGCAGTTTGGCTCAGCATACGGTTGAAATTAAAGGAAAGGAGGAGGAGTGAGTGAAAGAAAGAAGAGAAGTAAAAAGTAAAAGATATGCATGACTTTGGGATCATTTACCATTTTTCAATATTAAGAATTTGCATTTTCATTATCTTGCTGCTAAAAATTTTGCCAAAGCTTAGATTACTTATGGATAGAAAGCTAACTAGTGAAATGCATATGTATTTTGAAAAACGTATAATCTTCTAGAAAAGAAAATAAACCTTTTTTTATAGTTCATTTCTTTTTTTTCCTTTTGTGAGAATTCAAAATTGATGGGGAGACATGTAAACTACTCAAAGGTATTGTCAAAAGCAACATTAACCCTTTTGCTACAACCTTAATATATTAAGATTAATGTAAATTTTTACATTCTACACAGGGTCATACAACTGTATGCATGTGTGCACAAAGACAAACATATAGAAACACATGCAAATACTCTCACAAGGACGTTAAGATTAAACAAACAAATACATATACAGTCAAATGCCTTTTATCCTATAAACTTTTCTTTTCTTTTTTCACCTATGCCACAGCTTTGCTTATAATTCCAAACGCACAAATGATGTTCATAGAGTAATCTAAAAACATTAAAGTGTATTTCCTGTAGGAAAAGGGTTAAAAGAACTAGATATTTACAAAGGTTCCTTTTGCCCCTTTCTTTAGTTAATCATTTTGTGTATTATATTTTTTATTTTGATTTAATTTTTTCTTCTTTCCTAACCCCTTAGCAGAAGGGCTGGAGGTAACCAGAGCACTCACAGACAAGCTTAGTTTTTTAAATCTGGATTTTAAGAAAGCATGCATTACTCTATAAAGGTATCAGATTGACAGAAATCAGAAAATGCATACCTTTCTCATTCATTGGCCTTTTAAGAAAGCATGTATTGGGTAATGATGGCGGCCAAAAATTTACACATCTTGATTATTTACTGTGTAGGGTTGCATTAGTGCGGATGGGGGTTGCTGGTGGATGTGAGGCGAGGAAGAGGCCGTTTGCATAACTGATGGTGGGAGGCTCCCCTTACTCCTTATGCCAGATAACAATGAAAGATTGCGTGAGTGAGTGAGTGAGTGAGTGAGTGAGTGAGTGAGTGAGTGAGTGAGTGAGTGAGTGAGTGAGTGAGTGAGTGAGTGAGTGAGTGAGTGTGTGTGTGTGTGTGTGTGTGTGTGTGTGTGTGTGTGTGTGTGTGTGTGTGTGTGTGTGTGTGTGTGTGTGTGTGTGTGGAGAGTGAGAGAATGTGTGTGAGTTGATTGATTTAAGTGAGGATTTGAAGTAATGAGGGTGTGGGCTTGACATGTTCGCTAGTTTTCGCCAGGATGTGACAGACTATCAGAGATTCTATGGCTAGCATGATGTCAAAAAATACTTAAATTCCCAGTAATGCCTTTAGGCTTCTTAATTCTTGTCAAGATTCATGAACTTGCCTATAAAAACCCAAACTATAATATTAAGAGACCTTTGCTCACTGAGACATGCATAATATTATGGGACCCCTCTGCAAGGGATTAATTTATTCATATATATATTTATTTTTTTCTGGCTTTAACACTGTAACCCTGTTTCCTCTTGTGGTTTTCACCTTTGTATTAGCTGCAAAGTTCTCCATTTCATCAATTTTCTTCCAATTTTCATATTCATACAGCTTGTAAAACTATAATTGCATAGCTAAGCATATGCTTTCTTTAAAAAAATAATTATTCACATACAATTTCTTTTCTCTTCATTAAATTTCTTTCATTTTCATATCCATAAAGCTTGTAAAACCATAACTACATAATCATTTGCTTTACTGGAAAAATAAATATTCACTTATACAATTTCTTTCCTCTTCTTGTTAACAACCTTCAGTGAACATGCAAAAATATGAATAAAACATCTTTGTTGCTATTGTGTTCATATATATACATTTTTTTTTATTTTTTATTTTTTTTATTTTTTTACAAAATGGTTATCATAAAAAAATGGTGCTGTCTGAACAGATTTAAATCTTTTTTAGCCTTAATTTATACCTGATATATAAAACAGGTACTGGCATTCTGATTTTCAGTTTAAATTCTAAAAATCATGTTATCAGTCAAAATTGTATATTAAGTAAATGGACTAACATAAAACTTCAATTATAGTCTGGAAAATTCTAGACTCCTGCATATATACACACATGTATATTTTTGAGAGAGAGAGAGAGAGAGAGAGAGAGAGAGAGAGAGAGAGTGAGAGTGAGAGTGAGAGTGAGAGTGAGAGAGAGTGAGTGAGTGAGTGAGTGAGTGAGTGAGTGAGTGAGTGAGTGAGTGAGTGAGTGAGTGAGTGAGTGAGTGAGTGAGTGAGTGAGTGAGTGAGTGAGTGAGTGAGTGAGTGAGTGAGTGAGTGAGTGAGTGAGTGAGTGAGTGAGTGAGTGAGTGAGTGAGTGAGTGAGTGAGTGAGTGAGTGAGTGAGTGAGTGTGTGAGTGAGTGAGTGTGTGTGAGTGAGTGAGTGTGTGAGTGTGAGTGTGAGTGAGTGTGAGTGAGTGAGTGAGTGAGTGAGTGTGTGAGTGTGTGAGTGAGTGTGTGTGTGTAAAATCCTATAGATACAGATACATAAGCACGCATAAGGGCAAGCAAATGCACGGACATGCCCTTACGCATAAGCAACATTAAGCTTATTTCTCAGTAATCTAAGTATATTAATGATCTTTTTGCTCTTTAATCATCCAATACAAAAAATGAGACCCTGACTCTTATTACTGCAATCTATTTCCTGAATCAGCAAATGGCAGCCAGCTGCAAAAAGACCAAGCACCACTGACTTTCATTAAAAAGTGTAGAAATATGGTTGGTTCATAGTTACTGAGGCACAAAACCATAGTCTAAGTAATCCAGAATTTTTCCTTAATATGCTGTAATTTACTGGGTTTTACTTTCTGCTTAAGTGTTGAGGTGATTTTTCCTCATAAGAGGGGTTTCCCTAAAAAAGGAAGAACAAAGAAAAAAGTGGTTTGCTGAAAACTGCTTTTGTACCATAAGCTTGAACTATTTTTCAGTTTAATGAACACAAAAACAAAGCTTATCAGAAGGAATTTAGTAAGAACTAACACAAGAAATTACAAACTACAGAAATAACTACAAAATAAAAAGCATGGAGATACTGATAGAACTTTGAAGAAAATTACCACGAAATTACTAAATGAAACGTAAGCTAGTCAATGGCAAAATAAAATATTATCTAAGAAACTATAAACTGCTTGCCTGGCTCATAAGCATCCGCAATTGCTCATTTACACCCTAAAGACCTCAGAAGAGGTTATATGTATATTTCATTTCTGATACTCCTGCATATAAAACAGTTAGAGAAGCTCAACTCTAAATATTCCTACTATGAATGACAAAACACTACCATAATGTTCCTAGAGCAGAAAAACTCACAATACGCAAATAAACCTATTTTATGCATGTTTTTTTCTGCTGTTTTGACTTTTGACAATATTGTCAATACCATTTGACTACAAATTGAAGTCCAGAGAACATCTTAGTATAGCAGCTAATGACAGCTAACTTTTCAACATTATTTTTTTCTTAATCCAAAAATATATCAAATATGGATATATTTATTCCTAAACAGTTATCCTGTTAATCACTCTTTATATACTTTAAGTCCAGAACACCCAATAAACAATAAATAACAATAACTGAACTTAAATTCCAGAAGAGAGAGACCTTTACAGGAATCTCCCATATGATACATAACTTCATAAATATATTGTTTTTTTTCAACTAAATCACCTGGGGAGCAAAATTCCCTGATAAATACACTACCTGGTGGTCTAACACCATGAGAATATTGCTTAGTAACCAAAATTTGGTGATTGAACTACCCGTTTGGCTAAAGACATCTTGAGAGGAAAAACCTTGAGAGGAAAAACCATAATCAGGTGATGAGGAAATGATAACCAAGTATATCAACATGCAAAGAAGTCACCTGGTCAGTAATCCAACAGGCAAGTAGTTTTATTGAGGAGAAGCAACTAAGGGAGAGAGAAAGGGCTGGTGTGAAAGATATCTTTGAAAAAGAGAGAGAAAAAAACTAAATGATACACAAGTGAAACTGATATATATTTTTTTCTATGCAGATCATTCTTTGCTGTCAATTTGAAGTTGGAGAAATTACAACCTTCAACAATTTTTGTCATACTAGTGCAGTATTTATGCATATTTGCAGGCTATGCTGAAATGTTCATCTTTTCTGATTTTATTTTTTTTCTGTGGTGGAGCAGAAACAAACTTGGTATAGAGGAATCCAGTTCCTATCATAGGTAATACATCTTTAGATTATCATTTTGACTTTTCATCAGGGGGAAGAAATATAAAATATCTGTACGCAATTGTTCTCATTCTGTTGTTCATGAAGGTCTACATCATTTTCATAATATTCTTTTCCAGAAATGTTTCAAAATACATAAGTAGAGCAAGAGGACTCAAAATCCATGGTTCTTTTTTTCATATGCTTTATATACCACTAAAATATAGAAATAGCAAAATATCCCAGTATCTTTTCTTTTACATAAAATGAAATATACACTGTACTGAACCATACATACACAGAGCTTTCTGAATGCATTTAACATACATGACATTTAAAACCTTTAAATAAAAAAATGATAGATTAAAGTAATGAGGTATTTGATGGAGGTAACAGAAAATAATGTATCATTCAACAATGGTAGACTTAAGTACTTCAATAAATATTGTAAGCACAGATATATGAATATGATTAAAAGTTAATACTGTTAAAACAAGCCTGAAAAGTGATTATGATGATGCTCCACAAAAATATCTTATATATTAGGTATATGTTGATACTGATAATGGTATAAGTAGAAAGGGGTACTTCATGTTATATTAAGTTACTGGTATGTATAAAGGGTATATCATTATCTTAACTCCACACCCGAGAACATGCCAATTCACAGCCCAATGAAGACATTTTATTTCTAAAATTGTATTACAAGTATGAAAACATTTCTCAGTGGTATACAGAAAGCACAGATTATGGGGAAATATGAGAGAGCAATTCTTAGTCTACTAAAAACTACTTTCCTACAAAAAAAGTACACTATTATGCTATGAAAAAGGCTTTTTTAAATATTTTTTTTCGCCCTTTTTCCACCAATTTTTATAGAAGCCTTTGAAATTTTCTATGATGTCTTAAAGTCTTTTCATCTCTCTGTCTTTTTCTTGACTTTGTTTAACAATGTCTTTTTTTCTTCTTCCTTTCTTTCCTTGTAGTGTCTATTACTTTTGTCAATCTTTATAGCACCCATTCTCTTTGTTTCTTACATTTCTTAAGTCTTTATCATAGCTACCTCTTCCACTATTATGACAAGAAGTAAGAAGGCTCTCTTCAGAATTTCTTCCCAATTTTTTTCTCCTTCTCTTTTATCAACAGCTGGCTCAAACTTCAAAATCTCCCTTCTTTGCATTTCTTTTCGTTCTTAGTCCTCATAATACCTCTTCTTCATGGTTCTATATTTCCTGAGCATGTACAGCGCCTCGATCTCCTTGATGACGAATTCTCCACGACCAATAAGGACCTTGATCTGCTCGGGGTCGGTGACCTCTCGGTTCTTCATGAAAGCTCTCTTGAGCTTCTCGCGGAAATACTCATACCCCATGGGGTACTCGCGGCCAAGGTAGAGAAGCTGCAATTTTATACACACATACACTATATTAGATGTAACATATAAATTATGCTAAACTGGCATGGCTTTAAATTTCATGCAACTTTTCAAGTGTGTTGGGTAATTTAACTTAACTCAATACTGGAAAGATTTTGATCTAGAAAGCAAATTATCAAATCTGCAAATACTTTCTAATCAAGTTTATTCTTATTCATTAATTTCTTTTTCCTTTTATTATTATCATTAAAATTTTCAATACAATCTTCAACTTAGAAAAGAAAATGGATCCTGTCATTCCATCTTAACCTAATGCCGATGGGAGAATGTTGCGTTAACTTTAGTATTGTTTTGTTAAATGTTTCTGTACATAGCCACAAAGGAGTCAATTTGTACATCTTGTGAGCACACCTTTCCTTGAAATAGCAGGAAAATGCTTTTTTTTTTTTTTTTTTTTTTTTTTACTAATGCTATGAATATCAACACTGTTATTTTTGTTATAAACATTATAATTACTATATTATTATTGACATTACTAACTTCAGTATTAAATACTAAAATTTTTTATAAAATTTTATAAAAAATTTAGGAAATGGGTTAACAGGTGAGACAGGTAGTTCTTGTAACTGGCTCATTGGTGCTTTACCACGTGTGGAGCCATCTATATGTAAAAACTATTACTAAATTAAACACACAGTAGGCATGGCATGTACATGCCATCCCCTGCGGCAAGTGGTTAATAGCTAAAATTGAATAAATCAAATTTCAATTTAATTAACTAGTTATCTAAGAACAAAATGAAAATTATGCAGAAACCATTACATATGCAAGTCCTTTCCATGAATGATTTTACTTATTTGATTTTAAGAGTAACAAAATACAGTAACGTATAATTATTTAGAAGACAAAAAGACAAGAGAAAGAAAAAAAGATAAATCAAAGTAATCATAGACATTATGACTCCTTTATGCTGTGTAGGAGCAAATGATGACTGACTTTAAGATTTAAGTTATTTTGAAGTAATGGTACATGAGTTTATGATGCTATGTTGTTGAAAAACATATTATGAATAACTTCTGTGATCAGTATGTTATACTGAAGTATACTTACATTTTTATACAGTTGGATAACCTGTGATCTTTGTGCCATGATGACGGCTTATGAAAATTTCTGTAAAGAAAAAAATCTTAGTATACATTCCAGTTCTTCTTTTACAACAAAACAGATCTACAAAAAAGCATAAGAAAAAGATGAAGACTGACTGATATACTTAAGAAAAATCAGAAGAAAAAGAAAAAGTGAAACATTTACACACACACACACACACACACACACACACACACACACACACACACACACACACACACACAACACACACACACACACACACACACACACACACACACACACAACACACACACACACACGCACACACACACACACACACACACACCCACAAAAAAAAAGCTTTAAGTTTAGAGATACTGTTGTTGCAGTTATATAACTACTACAAACATATATAAAATAAAAAAAATGAGTTGAGAATAAGATAAGAATAAGCAGCAGAGATGAAAGAAACGAAGAAAAGAATTCACACCAAAAGGAAAAGTTTGAAAATATGTTCCCTATGACCTATGAACTACTTATCTCTTTATCTGTACTACCACTAACAAACAATATAGTAGCATTGCACAACAATTAAAACATATAACTCTGAAAGTATCTATTCTCGATATCAACAAAACAGTAAAGCACAAAAAATGCAAATAATAAGTTATTTGAAATCTTCACATTATCTAGAAATGATAAATTGATAAATAAACAAAAATAACATCAACTAAGAGTCCGTGACACATCTTCAGAGAATTTCCACTCACGCAACTTTGTGCTTGACAGACACAATCGATAAGATCAAGTACTGCAGTAGGTGATGTAATGACCTCAAAAGAATCAAAAGTTACGTAAATCTAACATCAGAATACAGGCTTTTAATCCTTTAAATTGCTAAAACAGAATCAACAAAAGGAATAACTTTTGCTCCAATTATGAACCCGGCACTTCATGATGCAATGCTTCCAAGAACCACATGATGAAATACAACGATGAAAAATTATTTAAAACCATGAGCGTAAAATTCTCAAAACGCCCTTAATCCCAAATAAAACCCGAGAGGAGTGACTTTCCTCCTTGAAATACGGTCATTCCTCACCACGTGATCCTAAGCGTCCATCCAATGACCTTTCCAGGGTGACCTTCCTGCCTGACTGCTTGCCTGACTGTCCTTCTCTGCGCCTGACTCCTCTCACGTCATGCAGTCTCTCTCTTTTGTTTTTGTTATTGTTTGGAACAGCTGATTCTCGGCGCCGCGCTGACATCTAGCGGCGCCGGCGCGAACTAGCGGTTGCTATGGAAACCGCGACGCTATCTTGTGTTTCTGAAGAAGACGGCTCAAGGAGACATTTCGTTCTGGGGAGAATTTTCTAGTTTTCTGGAAAAGGAGAAGAAATAATTGGCTGGTAATTTTCATAACATGCCTCCGAAGGTAAGCGGCAATGTGGGCAACACCATGCATTAGGGTGTACTTGGACTGCATGCTGTCAGTCATGTATTAAGACATATCTCTTTAAGCACTGACATACGCACAAACACTAGCATACATGAATTTATGTCCCTAAGTATGTTTATATAATAGCATATTCAGCAATTACGCGCATGTATATTTATGTATAATCGCGTATGACTTTGATTATTTTGTACGCAAGTATACATGCATGCAACTGTGCTTTTGTCGATTAACGTACGTCAATCGACAGTGCATGTGCTATTGTGTATGTTTCATGCATGCATTTTTCCATGTGTGTATGCATTATATATGTACATACATACACGCCAACATGAAATAGTCCCGATAGGAAGAGAACTGTGCATTCGACTAAATATGCTTCATTCTAACCAGGTGCACACGTTACTTTGTTGGTATTTTGTTCATCACACACACATATACAGACACACAGACATCTAGACAGACGAATAGTCACACATTCTATAACACACACACACACACACACACACACACACACACACACACACACACACACACACACACACACACACACACTCACTCACTCATCACATCACTCACTCACTCTCATCTCTCTGATGAAACTATAGGAGCGAGTACTGTGATGTTTCCCAATTGTATCGGATCAGTTTTCTTCTGCTTCTTCTTCTTCCACCGGATTCGTGCCAACTCCGTAGTGAAAATGACGTCATGGGACATCATGATCGCTGTGCATGCCAAAGGCTGTCTATCTTTATCTTACCTTATCGAATGCGGGCCAACATATGGCACTGAGCGCCTTTCAATTAGCTCGCGTAACAAGATAGGTTTATTAAGTTTGTTCATGTCACAAAAGTAATTGAGAAAAGCCATCTGTAAGATGTTTTAATTTTTTAAAAGCACTGTTCGGTGTTGTTACTACTGGTTTTCGTTCACCTGATTGAAATAGCAATATAATTCACGGCGTTGGAGTCTAATAAAATGCATGTGCTCCATTCCATTATGTAAATATTAAACATTGGCATTGCATTGGTATTGTACTGAATTTTGATAAGATATTTTTTTACTGGAAAAATATATGTGCAGGTATACAGATTTACGCAGCAGATTATTGCAGGTTAATGAAGTAACATTATAAAGGTCATCCAATTACATTTTCTGAAGATCGTAAGCACTCTCTCTCTCTCTCACTCTCTTCTCTCTCTCTCTCTCCCATCTCTTGTGTTCTCTCTCTCTATCTCTCTCTCTCCATTCTCTTGCAGTTGTTCTCTCTCTCTCTCATCCCACTTCTCTCCTCTCTCTCTCTCTCTCTCTCCATTCTCTGTTCTCTCTCTCTCTCTCTCCCATTCTCTTGTTCTCTCTCTCTCTCTCCCCATTCTCTTGTTCTCTCTCTCTCTCTCTCCTATTCTCTTGTTCTCTCTCTCTCTCTCTCTCCCATTCTCTTGTTCTCTCTCTCTCCCATTCTCTTGTCTCTCCTCTTCTCTCTCTCTCTCTCTCTCTCTCTCTCTGTGTCTCTCTCTCCTTCTCTCTCTCTCTCTCTCTCTTCATAACTTATGTGCACAAATGTACTACGTACCACAGAAATTGAATTTCAATGCCCTATGCTATGCACCATGTCTTTTGCACGGGATTGAATATGATTTATTACATCTGTAGATATAATGTACAGATATATAATATTTCTGGATATATAGTGGATATGAAAATTAACTCTGTGACCAATATGAAATATGCATTAGATATCTTGCATATGAAAAGGTGTATGAAGAGTGTAGTGTGCATGATGCTATGTATGCAGGGTTTACGAATATTCGTCAGTGCATAGCATCATAAAAGAAAGATCATATGCATGGTATTAGATGTCTATTAACAGTTTTCAACATATCTTAATTAGTGCACAAATATTTTTATATATTTTTTTCGTTGTTATTCATACATGTTTTGCAAACCTTAGATTTACAATCTTGTCTTTATCTGTGATTGTAATCGTCTGTGCTGTTTATCTTTTATTGTATTTGCTCCATTTCCATCTATACTGCTTTTCTTCATAATTGCTTTCAAAGACACGGCTAGCGGTTTTAATTAATCAATGGATTTATTTTGGCAGAAAGATCATTGCTTAGTCAGCTTTATGTGTCGTCCTTTCACAGCCGTTGATGAGATGCTTATGTCACTCTCTATGTCACATTTGCACCGCCTATGCTCACAAATTTACCAAAATTATCCATTCCAGCGACATATGACACCTCAGGAATATTTCAGGTACGTATATATATGAAAACGTCTGACGTCATTGGTCTTGATCTTTGCACTGTCATGTCTGATAACTTTCATGTAAGAGTGAGCATCGAAGTGCATGTCTGAAGGCATTTCTGACATGTCATGACTTCCGTGGGCGGGGATGGCATGCGATTTTGAGAGATGAGTGCATGGGAATATAATGACATACACTGCATTTTTACGAGTTAAATGAGACGTAAGTCCGGGGACCTACACGCACATATACACCAATGCACACGTACAATCGTACACACACACACACACACACACACACACACACACACACACACACACACACACACACACACACGCACACACACACACACACACACACACACACACACACACACACACTCACACACACACTCACACACATGCACATACACACTCGCACACATGTAAGCATACACTAGTATACGCATGTCAGTAATACCATAGACCAATAATGTCATTGTTTTAATGCATCAAAAATAAAGTAAAAACCAGGCAACATTTCTCAACGGACGTGTCTCTACGCCCAGACCGCACGCGACAAGTAATTTCTATGATTGTGAAACCATTTTTGTATGATTAACCCTCGAGATCCTCACAGTCTCACTCTAAATATCTAAATAAAATGTCCAAATTCTGCCAAAGATTTTCACAGCCTGTGCGAGGCAACAAACTTGAGTCGCGTTTTCTACAACCTGCGACTTGCATGGGTAACTAAAGTAAAAATCAAACAAACATTTATCGCACTGTAGCTTTACTCCTCACACGGTGGAGTGAAGGTAAACCAACTCACGTTACAGCAACAGGGCGGGACGAGGAAGCTCAGCAAAGAGGAGAGAGAGAAATTACGTCGACTAGAACAAGAGAGACGACAGAGAGAAGCAGAGGAGGCCAAGTAGGTAGAGAGGGAGACATGGAGATAATGAAAACGGGATAGATTTATTTTAGGTTTTAATTTATTTATCTGTTTTCTGTCACGGCGCCTGGCGTGTTCTTGGCGGAGAAAGTACGGTAGGTGGCTGTGTTCAAGTTTGGATTTATGACCAGAAAATCATATAATTACTGCCAATACACCATTTTGATTTCAGAGAGAAAACAAAACAAAAAAATATGAAATCCATGCCAAACGCAACGATTTTCTAATCTCTCTGTCTCTCCTTCTCCTCCCCCCTCCCCCCCCCCCCAAAAAAAAGGATCCGCGAGGCCGAGGAGGAGGAGGCCCGGAAGCAGAAGGAGGCGCAGGAGGCGGCGCGGCGGGAGGAGCAGCGGCGGGAGCAGAAGCGCCAGAGGAAGGAGCAGCTGCGGACCACGGGGGCGCTGCTGCAGGAGCTCGACCAGACGATGGAGCTCACCAGGGACAGGATCATGGAGGAGGAGGAGGTGGGTGCAGGGAGTGGGAAGAGGGAGGGCAGGAGGAGGAGGAGGAAGAAGGGGGAAAAAGAAGAGAAGAGAGGAGGAGGAATAATAAGAAGGGAAAACGAAGAGAGGAGAGGAGGAGTAGGAGGTGGGTGGAGGAAGGTGGAGGAGGAGGAGGAGGAGGAAATGAAAGGTGAGGAGAAAGAGTTGGAGGAAAAACTGGATGGAAAGGAGTCAGGCTGAAGGAAGAAGGGAAGGTGGATAAATGGAGGAAGAGAGAAGAAGGGCTGAGAAGAAGGAAAGAAGAAGTAGGCTGGGGGGAGAAAGAGTAGGAAGTAGAAGGATAGAGGGAGTAAGGCAGGAGGCAGTGGCAGTGGGGGTGAGGGGACACGGGGGAGAGGGGTCAGGGAGGGCAGGGGGAGCAGAGGGGCACAAGGCGGTGATCATGAAAGTGAAAATGACAAAAATACCAACATCAACATCAAGGAATTACCAATACTACCACCTGCATTACCCCCCCCCAAAAAAAAAGAGAAAAAAGAAAGAAAAAAAAAAAAGAAAATGATGTATCCGTTTTTTAACCTTCCACAGCCATTAACGTAAGTTATCACATACACCCATTTTCTCAAGATAATCAACAATGCTATTACCAAGAGAGTAAAAAAAAAAAAAAAAAAAAAAAACACCATTTAGAACTAAATTAATACCTTAGTTCCAAGGCCTTTACGAACTTCCCCCTTATATCTGCAATAATTTCCACACAACATTGCCAGTGCTAAAACCAATCCTCACTTAAATCACCAAAAAAATAACCCCTCGATTATTAACTGATTAATAATTAATTAAATTATTAATTAATCTTAATCAAAAATAATAATAATAATAAAAAACAACCTTCTTCCTCCTCCTTCTTCCTCCTCCCTTCGCTGATCCTCCCACGTCCCCTGCCATGCACAGTGGGAGCGAATGATGCGATGTTTTTAAACCTTCACAGCCATTAACGTAAGTTATCACATAGACCCATTTTCTCAATATAATTAACAATGCTAGTACCAAGAGAGTAAAAGAAGAAAGAAGAAAAAAACACCATTTAGTTTAATGCCCTTCCACATTCGCTCATGGCTGCCCACAAACTGCCTTGTATTTGCAGTAATTTCCACACAACATTCCAGTGCTA